AAGTGATGGGGGAATTTAATCCGTAAAAAATACCCTGCATCTTCGAAACGGCTCAGCCGATTTCAACAAACTTGGGCTACAAATTTTATATTTGAAGTTTTGTTAGTTTCATATGTGGCCTCTAGAGGGTTTTTCCCGACATTCCGACAGAAATGGTTAATTTTCGCAAAAAATGAAATGCATTGGTTTTATTTATTTTTTTTTATTGAAAAAGTAGCACAATGATGCTTAAACAAGCTCGAGAATACCGCATCTCGATATCTTGTTCCTAGCCTAAAATTTAGGCCAAATACGGAAAACCCTTACATTTTTATTTTTTACAGTAATTTTTCTAGAAATCTTTTTTATTCATAAGAATAAAATCACCCTTTTTGATAATATTACAAAACATCGCTAAAAGGTAAGAAAGTAATGCTAATAACAAAAGGCATTTTTTTTGTTTAAATGCATATGCATATACGAAGAATAGAAGCATGCCATGGTATACAACAAAACAAATACCTAATCAAAACATAAATAATCCTCAAACTGTAAATAGTTGTCAATAGTTTCGCGGCACTTTGAGCAATGTTTGTGGTTACCAAATGCCTTTTACGAATGATGAAGCTTCAGAATGCCGTAGTAGCAGAAAGATTTTACACGACTCGATATCCAAATCGGCGTCTTTGCCTTGTGATAGTTTTTCTCCGATTATTGGCGAGCTAACGAGCCTTTGGTCATTTTCGGCCTACGTTTCAACGGCAAAGAATTGGAAGAACACAAGAAAATATTAACCGCGTACTCGGATATATTGAAGGAAATCCTCATGTTACCACAAGGGCAATTTCCCTTGAGTTGAGCATATTACGAACAATGCTTCAAAATATTTTGAACGATCATAGGTAGGTTCTAAAGGACATCAAAGTATAGGGATTTATTTAATTTTTTTGATAACTTTTAGAATGAAAACATATCATGTCGTTTTCCATCAGGCCTTGACAGAGGAAGACTTTGATCGGAGTTTGGGGTATTGCCATTAGATGTTAGGCAAGATACGCGAAAATAGAGAATTTTTATTTCAAATTCTTCGGACAGAGCCACCTTTAATAGTGAGAGTCAATCTGCACAATATGCATTATTGGTCCATAGAAAATCCGCACTGGTTGCCTGAAGTTCAGCACCAAGGGCGTTGGAATTTAAATGTGTGGCGTGGCATACTGGGAGGCCAGAATTATTAGGCCATATTTTTTCGAGCAATCGCTAAATGGCAATGTCTTTCTTGAGTTTTTGGGCAATCTATTACCGTTGTTGGTGGAAGATGTGCCACTGTAAAATGGAAATATATCAAAACTTGTATTTGCATTTGGATAGTTGCCCTGAACATTTGCTATTATTGTGCGAGGGTTTATTAAAACCCTCTATTGCATGATTTATTTGACATGTTGTTTTTGTCCTAAAAAAATTATTACTGATGAGCTGTATCATTGGGTGGTCAAAATAGAATATAAAAAATGTGTCAAACATATTTTATTAAAAAAAGGGTACAAAATTTTGTTCCCACTTTGGAACATTATGGGTATGGAGTACGATAAGAAGTTATTTTAATTTGTATGAAACCCTACAAAACAATCACTTTATGCATAAAAACAAACGTGGACTTAACATTTTAGACATAAAACTCAACTTTTTCCGTTACAACCTTGATTTTTGCATCTTTCACGGTTTTCCGTCTATTGAATCCAGTGCTATACATCATCATACCTGACCTCAGTTCTTGGAGTAGGTTCCTTACATCTTCTGTTTTGGTGACTCTCTGCAATTTAAACGGATGTTGGTCTACCTCGCTTACTAGAATTTTTTCCAATATTGCACATTGCTACAGCGATTTCGGTCTTGACGATATATTTTGTTCTTGCTTGCCCAATTGTTTTTTTATACGTTTGTCTAGGAGCCAAGAATTTACGATAGCAACATCAAGCATGTGATAAAAAAAGGCGATGATACCATTTTTGCGTCTGATGTGACATCGGTATAGCCCAAAAAGAGAGTCTTGAAGATCTACTCCCCCCATATGTTTGTTGTAAATTTGTACCATATTTGGGCAAGTGATTTCAATTTTTTCTTCTACTGCCTTGAAAATCTGGGGACCATAGCTGTAGGGTTAGTACCACAAAAGGAGCTAATTAGGGGAACAACTTTGTTATCATACCACTGAAATACTCTAATTAAATGATTGTCGAATTTTGAAATTTTTTCTAAACAGGTGCCCTTGCCCTTTTTTGAATTTGTTTTTCATCAGGAAATCTACAGCCTGGTAGGCGATTTGGGCGCACAGTACCAGCACTTTCAATTCCTTTGTTCTTTAGGTAAACGAACAAGATTTATTCCTGCGAAATAATTATCAAAGTAGACCTTCTGGTACAATTCGACAGAGACGTACAATAACATTGCTGTAGGCTCCAAGATTGGGTTCGTTCGGAAGTCTTTCAATATCCTGTTTACGTGGAAACAACTCCAAATTGTAAGTAAAACCATTTACGCCAGACAAAACCCATATCCCCACTTATTTTTTAGGATTGTAGGTTTTCAGAGAAATTCGTCCCTTGAATGGAACAATCTGTTCGTCACACGACAAATTTTCTTCTAAAGGTACCTTCTGACAAGCTGATTTTATCTGGTTGAAAACCGGCGTAATTTTATCTGTGCTTGTGGTAATCTTCTGGTTGTCAGTGAAATGAAGGAATCTTTTTATTTCTTCAAAACGGTTAACTGGTATAACATCAGCCACTTGGTCGATTCTGGTATTAGGAGACCAGTACCGCCTTGAGTTTGGCTTCTTTATAAGTGACATCCATATGGTTATAGCTAGAAATCGTTCCAGTTCATCCTTGGAAAATTGCAGTGGTTTATTGGGACCTACTTGAGTGCTGTACAAAATTGTCTCATAAACAACTTTATCTAAAAAGACATAATAAAAAAAAACTTGAAAATTTTGTAAGGCGTTGTCAGCTCTAGAAACTCCTTCCGAGAAATTGAGTTCCTTGTACATCAGTATGGGAAGTGGATCTTGCCCACTTCAATTCAGAAGCTTTGCTGCTGGAGGCAATGTTTGGAAGCAAATGGACTAACTGAGAATTATCGTCGCTATCATCTGAATATAGGTGCCCATCTTGGATTATTCTCCCAACTGGAATATCCGGCTCTTCGATGTCATCCTCCAATATGGAATCTTCACTGTCAGATGGAATGTCTCTAATATGGGTATTGTTTTTACCATACAAGACCTTGGGTTTCACTGGGCCGAGTTTCTCCATGTCCACATCCATTAAGAGCATCTAGTAAAACAAATATTTGGATATATATTGGAAAAAACAATACACTGTTGACAAACATATTGGATATATAGTATAAACCAAAAAGAACACCAATGCATAATGTTCCCACTCAGGAACACTAATATCTGCAGAAAAAGTAATTACATGGACAAAAATAAACGTAGCACCCAACCACCCTACGTATCAAATACATATTTAGAGACCATGTAATAATTTTATAACATAAAACTTACCTACTTTATCAAAAGTGTATTGAAGACACCTCGAAAAGCATCAGCTGATTATAAGATCAGGATGACGGATATTCTTACCTGGACATCGTTAAATAACGTTCCCGTGTGGGAACTTGATGCATACAAATTTGGTAAATGCTTACGGAAAAATATAGGAAGTTATAGAATTTACTGTTCCCATTTGGGAACAATATGAAATAGAGGGTTAATGCAGTATTTCAACAGCGGTTGATTGGAAGAGGAAGTCTGTTTCCATGACCTTTGCAATCACCAGACAGAACTTTTCTTGATTTTTCTTTATGGGGACGGTTAAAGGACATCGTGTCCAGAGAAGAAAAACCGGATTCGTAGTGCAATACGTAACATACCAAAAGTTGAAATTGAAGCTGCAGTTTTGTCTACCCATGAGAGGCTTCAGGAATGTATAGAGATAGGGCGTGGTGGTCAGCATTTCGAGCAATTACGGGGGCAATAAAATCCTTTTTTTTAAATCGGTCCTTTGTAGGGCCACAACTTAATAATAAAAAAAATCCAGAAAACTTAGTTTAAAAAATACAAAATATTCTTTGGTATAAATTTTAGGTTAGGAACAAGATATCGAGATGCGGTTTTCGCGAGCTTGTTTAGACATTATTTATCTACTTTTTCGTTAAAAATCGATCATATAATAATAATGCATTTAATTTTTTTTTTGAGAAAATTAACCAGTTCTGTCGGACTATCTCCGTCTATTTTTTTGAACATCCTGTAATTGGGTCAAGTAGCCTATTAACCATATCTTACATATATCTGCAGCGATCGATTACTCAAAAAGCTGACTTGAGCCAGTTATAAAAATTTGAGTTTATAGCATAACTGATTGACCAGTTCCGCTACAATATTTTCAAAATGGTGGCACTTCTGGTTGTACCCGAAGTAGATACCATGTACCTGAAGTAGATATTACCAATTTGCTTATTTTAAATAGTAGAATTCAAAAATTGAATAATCTTGAGGGTCTTCTACGCAAGCTGGTATCTAGTTCCGGTATGGGTATTACGAATCTTGAACAGTGACATTTCCTCGTTTTTTTTTTGACATTTCATAGACTTTTTGCGACATAACGTGGGTTTTTCTACAAGATGTTCACTTAGCGCAAGGTGTTTTACACTTGTTGTGAACTCATTTTGTCGCTCCACGTCTTGCTTAAACGTCAGCGAACAGCGATCATAGCGAACAAACGTGGAATGAACTATTGCACACTAAAAACTACCTAGTTTGCAAGATTACAGTTCGTCCGTTTTTTTTTTACTTTTTTTTATATTTGTTACATAATACCCCTGCGGTATAACCAACAATTTAACAAAATTGCTTCCATTAGCTATTAACCCAAATTTTCATAACTGTTTTACGGTTTACGTAGTCGATCACTGCAGTTCTACATGGGTCACCCTATATACTTCTTTGATTTTAGGAGTGGTCTAATCTGCAATGGCAGGAGGTGGAGCAATTACTAGATGAACTTCTGTCAGATATTTCTCTTATAAATGTCAATAACAGTATAGCTACAAATACCTCGGTTGTGTTCAACCTCAGCATTAACGAATATGCCAGAAATAGGAGTTTTAGAGGAAGGTAGGTACTCCAGAGTATGCTCTCTTTCAAGAACCAGTAGTACAAGAAATATACTACTTAGGCCCAAGTGAGACTCATGGTTTGTTCGTACAGTAGTCGGTAACTTGTCGGTGACTGTCAACATCAGAATGAGATGTTACCTGTTCGTACAGTTTCTGACTGTTTGTACGAACAGCGGATTAGCTGTCGGCAGACGGTCAGTTCGCTACAATTGGTTGATATTTGTCTACTGTCTTTTCGTTTTCTTGTGTTTATTTTCCAACATTTTGAACAGTTTTAATAGCACGAGATTTCGAAGACAGACGTATACTATATTAATACTTTTAGAAAAAAGGTCCGGTCCATATTTCTTCATAAAGACGTGACATACCTATTCGACAAAGTCATGCAGTCATCAATAATGCAGTCATTTAGCACATGCTACATACTAAACTAAGACAGTTCGAAACATAATATTGTCTCTTCAGTTTGCGTGCTAACTTTATAAACATTTCAGCGCATTTCATATTTTTTTTATAAACTTTAAGGCCCATCTGTGACCGTGCAAAAATTTCAGCTACTAAATATGTATACACAAGAACAACTTGCGTCAATAAAACCAGACATTACAATTATTTCGCAAACCAGGGGTATTTTCGTCTAATATAATTGGACTAGTATTACAATGTGTGTTTTTTTTGTGTCTGAAACTAACTGACTGACTGACTGGAAAAACGAAAAACATGGTTAAGAACCAAAAGTGATGAGCTAGCAAAAAAGGAATACACCGCAATTATACTAAGTGACATATATAAATCCGAACACTCAGTTTAAACGGTTTTATTTTAATAAAATTTTGTATAAGTACTTAATGAAGCATAATAAGTAAATGATAAAAATTTCAAAATGATTGCACTGCTTTAAAGCCCTTTGACCTTTAATAATGTGTGGATGCACCCTGATGTGCTACGCATTCTCCAACGCGCCTAGGCATGCTTCTGATCAGGTGGTCAATGTCCTCCTGTGGTATCTCATTCCAGGCAACCACCAACTCCTCTCGAAGTGCTTCTAGAGTCTGAGGAGGACGTTGCAAATTGAGCAATCTCCTACCCATCATATCCCACACGTGCTCAATTGGGGATAAGTCGGGAGATCTTGGTGGCCATGGTAACAATGTGACATCATTATGTTGAAAGAAGTCTATTGTGACTCTTGCAACATGTGGTCGGGCATTATCTTGTTGGAAAGTTGGATCTGCCAGGGTGTCAAGATAGGGTAAAAGATGGGGTTCTAGAACTTCGTGGATATAATGCTGCGCGTTCATGTTACCTCTGATGAAGATTAAAGGTGACCTGAAACCATAAGCTTTAGCACCCCAAACCATAACTCCAACAGTGTGATGATCATGTCTTTCAACAAAAAACTGTGGATTCCTCCTTTCACCACGTCGCCTTCTAACCCTGGCACGACTATCGTGCATGCCTAAACAAAATCGAGACTCGTCACTAAAGACAATACTGTTCCATTCCTGATCCCAGAGTGACCGTTGTCTGCACCACTCAAGGCGATTACGTCGGTGTTCTCGAGTTAAAGGGAGGACCCAGTGTGGCCGGTATGAAAACAAGCCAAAACTTCTCATTCGTCGGTAAACACTTCGCATGCCAATAGGTCTTCCGTGTTCTGCAAACTATTAATTTGCAATCGACCTAGTAGTGGAGAAACGGTCCCTTAAGGCCAATAATCTTAGGCGGCGATCTTCACGGTCTGTTGTTCTAAGGCGGCGTCCAGTGCCCCTTGCTCTTTGCGTACGGCCTTCTCGAAGCCATGCCTGACAACACGTAACCACAGTGTCTACACTTCTTTGCACTCTAACTGCAATTGCCCGAAAAGAAAGTCCAGCTTCCCGAAGTCCCACTATACGGCCCCTATCAAACTCACTAAGTTGACAGGTCTCCGTACTCTAGGCATCGTAACCGATCGTAAAGGATGTCAAGAACCAAAATCCGCCAACGTTGATTCTTTACTGCGGCTGAAATATTCATTTTTAGAGCGTTAGTGAATTAAAAAAAAAGCAGTATAAAAACCGGAATGTCCAACTGATGAGGCTGAACATTTTTTCACTTGTTATTTACAGTAAGATAAATACATTCACCAACTTTTATTAAAATAAAACCATTTAAACTGGGTGTTCGGATTTATATGTCACTTAGTAAATACTAATAAAGTATTAAAGGACCGTCACATAATTAGTGCAAAATGTGAATTTCCTAACCAGTAACGTTGGCGGTCCTACCAGAAAGTTATGATGGAGAGCTAGGAAAATTCACAGTCTAAGGCAGGGGGTGGAACGTCTTAAGCGCGAACTGGCAACACCAAGTTCATCCTCTATAGGCAAAATCGAGAAAACTGCATTAGCGTCATTACGTGACGGTGCCTGCCGGGATTCTCTATCTTTATCTAAATGTAATAATATTAAAAGAAGTTCAGGAGATTGTCATAAGTCCTAAAGTGCTACAGGTAGGCTGCGAACTTAACATATCCGCATGATGTAGTCGGTAGATTATTTAAAATTGCATGTCTGGATTCTGTCTATTTATAATTGTTGTACCGTTATCCCGATATATAAAGTACCATTTTTTTTTTGTATTGAATAAGACATGGTAATATCGGCAGAATACAGTCATAAAGCTCTAAGCTTTATGAAGCAAAATCTGCCCAACTAGGCCAACAAATTAAAGACATAGAACTGAGCAAGCTAGTTAAAAGTGACTAGCTGTCTACAAAGAATTATGAATTACATTAGTGTTTCCTCTATTGGAATAAATCTATCTGATTTTATTTTTTGAAACTAAATATATTTTGTGCTTCATAATAAGTGTTAGATCTTATTGTTCTGAACCTTGTTCTCAGCAAAACTGCTGAAATGGACGTTAACCTTATTGGGGATATTTTATGAATATATATAGGGTTTGTCCGGAAAGTAATACGACTGAGTCAATTTAAAAAAATTTATTGATCCAATCGTTACAATTCTTCAAAAACTTTCAAAATAGGCTCCTTCTGCGTCGATGCAGCGCTGCCAGCGCGATTTCCAAGCATTGAAGGCGTCACGGAAGTCATTCTCCGGAATAGCCTTGAGAGCCGCGGTGCATGCTGCTTGGATCCCCTCTGTCGTCTCAAAATGCTTGCCTTTCATCGGCCTTTTCAGGCGAGGAAACCAAAAAAAGTCCGGGGGGCACATCTGGGCTATAGGGCGGCTGCGGAAGCGTTGGGATGCCGGCCTTGGTCAGGTAGCTGTTCACAAGAAAGGCGGTGTGAGCCGGGACGTTGTCGTGGTGCAACTTCCAGTCGGCTGCGATGTCTTGTCGTACCCGACTGACCCTTCGTTTGAGTCTCCTGAGCACTTCCACGTAAAACTTGGCGTTGACGGTTTGTGCCACTCGGAAGATTGCCTCTTGGTCTCGGGATCATACTCAAAGATCCACGACTGTGATTACGTTATTCAAAGATTGGGGGTCACTTTCACACATGTTCAAATTTTCTTGGCACACTTCCACTCGCCGCAATTTCTGGTCGTCAGTGAGCACTTTTGGGACCATCTTCGCGTACACCTTGCGCATGTTCAAATGCTGTGTCACAATGTCATGAACCACAGATTTTGGTAAATTCAACATCTGGGCAATTAAACGAATACTTAGTCGATGGTCTGAGTTCAAAACTTTGCACATACGAGTCACATTATCGGTGTTTGTCGAAGTCGAAGGTCTTCCAGCACGATCTTCATCAGCGACCTCTTCCCGGCCCTCCAAAAAGGCCTGGTGCCACCGAAACACACCACTTCTTGCTAAAGCAACACCTGGGTAAGCCTGCTTGATCATATCATATCTGTCGCAGACAGAATTTAATCGCGTACCTGTGCTCTAACGAACGCTACATTTTCGGCTTGCACCACTCACAGAAACACGTCGCGCGAAAATGCCTGTCCTGACTCTCCAAGTGCTCGGAGACAACTGACCAGCCGTTCATTCGTTAGCTAGGAACGCTCTCTACCGAATCCAGTCGGTGCGCGTACGCTCCGAAGTACAGTCATGGCGGAAGAAAATGAGTCCGATTACTTTCCGGACAAACCCTGTATGTTCATGAAATAATCCTTCAATATCGAAAATATCATTTTCAGCTGATTTCAAATTATGAACAAACGAAATGCCCGGCACATTCCCAGCATTCCTTATTCTAGGCCCATTATCGGCATTCTTTCGATAGTTCCTCCAGACAAGTAGCAGCGCAACCACCTGACAAACGTCAACGGTGTCATCGTTTAACGCACAGCTCCCACTACCACTTCTTCAGTTATCTATTTTGTGGTTCAAGGTTCAAGGCATATTTTCAACAGCTCTCAATAGATGTATCTTGAAAATCTATATTTCCTTCGATTTTGTAAATTAGCCACAGACCATAAGCTGCCAGGCAGCGCCAAAATTTGATATCACTATTTAATAAACATGGTTATATTCGATATAATTAAATACATTGCAACTACTAATCGTAGATACATGGAGTCTTTATGCTTATAAATCCATTTATGCATGATAAAAGGATCTTGATTCATGAATCGAGCAATTGACTCTATTTTTTCATTCATTCGTTCAGCTGACGCAATATAGTGTAGACTCATGAAGCAATCAATATACGAAATGTATTTAACACACAAAAACTCAAGCTTCAAGCAAGCTACGAGGCTTGTTCAATTGAAACCTATCTTTGGTCAGGTTAACCTTATATATCCCTTTGGAAACAATTCTAATCACTTAACTGACGTTTTCCAATGTTAGTTGTGTTTGTAAACGTCACACCGATCAGTTCCTGTGTTTGAGTGCGATTTTAAGTATTGTGACCTAAAAATGGCGTTTATTGTTAACAATCCATCCAAATGTAATCAGCGTGCAGTCATTCAATTTTTTTGTGCTGAAGGTAATACTATTCGTCATTTGTTTGTCTGGTCTGTCCGTAGGACCTTTGCCCATTAGTCACTGTCATAATGTACGATAGTCGAATCTGTCAGTTCTGGTTATCCAGAAACCAGACAATGTCAAGGAAAAAGAGAAAAGGAAAGAGAAGAAAAATGGAGAAGA